GGACGGGGGGTGGGGTGGGGGGTCTGGACTACCTGGACGCCTCCAAGTAAAACTTATGTTTTTAGCACTACGTAAAATGTGGAAAGGCTTTTTCGGAAGCTTTAGAATGACTTTTCTTTACTCTGAAAAGGCCACTGCCACTACAAGCCTTTTTTTCTTGTGGATGCCACAATTTAGTGAAGAACATGCATAGCGATTATTTCATTTTCAACCTCAAATATGACATTTTTTGACTTGTATTGCAATTTTTAGCCATTCTTTTCTTTTTTTGCTGTTGGCAAGGGGATCATTTTTGGCAAAAACGACCGGACGGTCTTTTATGGATGGCCCCCTATCCACCCCCGCGCTAGCCACAGTCTGGTTGTCACGCTGGTCTCCTGCTTCTCAGTGAACATGGAGGTGTGGTGGTGCCTCCTGCTCGCGGCCGCCGGCTGCTGCGGCTGCTGCAGGGCCACTCTCCCCTTGATCAGCCCGGCCGCTCTGGAGGAGCTGAGCGCGGACCCGGCCCGGTGCGTGCTCAGCACACTCGCGCCCAGCCTGCTGCGCGCCCCGGGCCAGCGCCTGCTCGTGGTCTGCAACGCGCACTGGTGCGACGGCCGCTTCCTGGGTCGGCTGGGCGTCCAGAAGGTCGTGCTCGCCGGCGAGGGCCTCTCCGTGTGGACAGAGTCGCGGGCGCTCCAGCTCACGCCGTCCAACGTCAGCATGCTGCTCGTGGCCACGGACAGCCTCGAGCAGCTGCGCGAGGTAGGGCCGCTCCTGTCCGTGGTGATGCCGCAGACCCGCGCGCTGCTGTGGACGAGCACCCGGGCGACGGTGACCCAAACCGATCTCGGCGACGTGGTGGAGTCGGTCCTCAACCTCACCACTACTGTTCCGCTCGGCAACGTCCGCCTCGGCGTCGACACGGCTAAAAGCACGCGGCTCTTCGCGTGGACGAGGAGCGTCATGGGCGACGCCGGCTCCCTCGCGCACGTGGACACGTGGGCGCCGAGGGTGGGCCGCTGGTCGCGGGGCGCGGCCCTCTTCCCGGAGCCCTGCACCTCGTGGCGGCCGCCGGCCCCGGGCGAGCCCCTCACCTTCCTGTTCCACTTCCACCGGATACCCGACTACCGAGTCAACGAGAGAATCGTCAAGGCCCACGACGTCGTCCTCGAGTTCCTCCGTCGAACGGCTGGCCTCGTCTTCAAGCGCGAGGCCGAGACGCTGGCGGAAGGGTCGCACTTGACTCGTAATCTGATGACCTGCCGCTCTGACCTCCTGGCGTTCGTGACCATCCTGGAGAGCAGGATGCTGGAGACGATAGACGTCTCGACCTGGAACTTGGAGGAGTTGGTGGTGGTGCTGCCCGCCGGGGCGGGCCGAGGCCGCAGCCCGCTGCACCGCCTGGTCGTGTTCAGCGTGTCGCTGTGGTGCGCCACGGGGGTCGCCGTCCTGGTGGTCGTCGCCGTCCTCTGCGCGCCCCGGCCCCGCGGCCTGGTGCGCGCGGCGCTGCAGACCGTGGCGCCGCTGTTGGCGCAGCCGCCGCCGTTCGCCTGCAACCAGTACCAGCGGCTGCTGCTCGCCAGCTGGCTGGCCGCCTCCGTCGTGCTGGCGGCCGCGTACCAGGGCCAGGTCCTGAGCCGGCTGACGGTGCCCGACGCGGCCGACGAGATCAACAGCATGGAGGAGCTGGCCGCCAGCGGCCTGGCCGTCTACACGCGGGGCGACTTCCGCCACCTGGACTTGCAGCTGCCGAACAACACGATCGTCCACAACGACTTCTTCGGGCTCATCATCGACGCCCTGCTGGAGCGGCGGGAGCGCGTCGCCATCGTCGTCACGGAGCTCGTCGCGAAGCACCTGGTGCAGCACACGCGCGGCCCGGGCCGCGCGCTGCACGCGTTCCCCGTGCCGGGCGTGCGGCTGCTCCGGTCGCGCTTCTCCACGTCCAGGGGCTCCCCCGTGGAGCGGCCGCTGCGGGCCGCGGTTGGCCGCATGCACGCCGCGGGCATCTACCAGCACATCGACGGGGAGGTCGGGCCGCTGGGGTGCCGGGACCCCGCCCCGCCGGAGGAGGCCTCGCCGCGAGCCCTGGCCCTGGGCGACGTCCTGCCGCCCTTCCTGGTCCTGGCGGCGGGCCTCCTGCTGGCCGCGCTCGCGTTCCTCTGCGAGCTTGCGCGACCACGACTCTCTTGAAGGCCCGCGTGAGTTGTTTGGCCCCAAGCTGCGCGGAGGGAGCAGACCTAGCGCTGGCGCGGCCCTCGGCTGGGCTCGGCTATAGGCAGACTAGCCTAAGGTCACACTTTTCCTCTCCCCCTCCCGCCTCCAGTCTCCTATGCTGCCCGTGCTTCAAAAAGTGGGACCTTAGGCTAGTCTCACTATACTCGAAGCTTTCGAAACGAGACCCCGCTCGCCCCGCTCCCCCTCGCACCCGGCCGGTCCCGGTGTGGCCAAAGGGACAGAGTCAGCCCCCCCTCC